TTTCCATTAAAAAAAAACATAAAAGCAGGGAAAACAAAAGTACTGCACATTAAAGTAGATAATTGTAACACCTTGTTTTTGTTTTTAAAAAAAAGGCAAAGCAAGAAGCAAGAAATGAAACCACTCAAAAACCTATACCTGAAAATAATATCAACTAATCTTGCTTGACAAATACAATATAAACATTAGTTTTGTTACAAAGCCACAGCAACTGCTCCAGGATCTCTGCCAAAGCCGAATTCCTCCATTTGATATAATAAAATGATTTTTGTGTTCTATTTACAATTCTAGTGATTTTGGTCCAGTCTGATGAACACCGGGCAATTACATGTGTTCTTGGTTAGAAAAAGAAAGACAAACTGTGCATATTTCTACAGGATCATCTACTGTAAACTATTTGCAATGCCGCTTTCCAAATATGAAACCCTTTTGGGACTTATAGTAAACAATAGTAATTTCAAAAAGATGTTAAATCTTCAATAGTGCAATACTGAATCTTGTTCACATTGCCACTAAATTTTAAGCCCAAAAGAGAAACACATTCACACTTCTGAAGCTTACAGTTCTATGAGATTTAACAGTCACAATGATTCTTCAAGATATGCACAGCTACCAATGGGGAGAAACAGTCATTATGAGTTGGATCCAAAACAAGTGTCCACAAATTGATATACTGAAGTTGAGATGAGAATTATGACCGTCCTACATTCATTTAATTCAGTGAGATTTAGTTGTTTTAAAAACTTGCTCACATCAAACCTTATCCATACTTACTAGAGGTGGGCTACAATTTACAACCATTTGTTTAATAACCACTCAGAGTTACAACGGCACTGAAAAAAGGGACTTATGACCATTTTTCATACTTACGGTGAATTAGATTTCTTTAGAAACTCATGCAAGCAGGCCTTAATTGTCTCCTAGGATTTGTTAACACGCCAATATTATTTCAGTTAATGTCAAGAGAGAACTAACCAAAAGCATTTGATCCACCAAGTTTCACTTTTCACTGTGATGGGATATAAATGCAATAAAAACATAAAATATACATGCCCAGCATTTTTTAAGCTGATGTATAGCAGTATGTAAAACTGATGAAGATTAGGTGATCAGGACATAATTATTTTGTTTTTATGTGTTACTTTTAATAGGAAATGTTGACTTCTGTGCCTGTATAAAATTTGATCTTAGTCTATTTAAGACTAAGAACAATATGACACTTATGCTTTCAACTATACTTCTTGGTAACAGATATTATACCTGCTTATGCTTGGCTTTTTGAAATGGAAAACATTACCATAATTACTACTTGCTAGTACTGGTTTTGCATAAACATTTCCAGATTGGTTTTATAACTATGCAATGTCAGGCGTACCTGGACAGAACAAAATCTTACCAAAGTACAAAGACACTTGTTTCCAAGATCATAGTCCATTTAAAATAGTTATTTTAAATTTGCAAAATTTTGTAATTAAATACTTCCTAGTGCATATGTAACAAATTTCTACTGTGTTTCTCCAACAATACGGCCTCCACCAATAGGAAGGCCCAGCATGATTTCTAGGCATGAGGTGAAAGCAAGCCCCGCCCCCCAAATTTAGGCCTATTTAAACCATGAGTTTCCCCGCCATTTCTCACATCGTTCGTTAGAACTACACGAGGTGAAGAGAAATGGGGGGGAAGGGCGGGGGGGATGGGGAGAAAACTTGCCTTGAGGAGTGCCCTGCAGGTAGCCTAGGCTAGAATACCCCGATAGCCGATAGAAGCTCCCTGAAGGCAGAGTCCCCAGCCGCTTCAGGGCATGCCGCGGCTACCCGTGTCCCTTCGCCTTTAGGCAGTCTGTTTTGAGAGATGGAAGCTCCCCAAATGCAGTCACCAGCCACTTCGATCAGCCGGTCGAAGCGGCCTCGGGGCGAGCGCACACACACACACTCCCCTCACCGCGAGGCCGCTTCTATCGGCAGACAAAAGCTCCCTTGAAGGCAGAAGTCTCCAGACGCTTCGGGGCGAGGCATGGCTGCCTGTGTCCCCTCGCCATTAGGCAGTCTCTTTCGGGTGATGGAAGCTCCCCAAATGCAGTCACCAGCCACTTTGATCGGCCGGTAGAAGCAGCCTCGGGGTGAGCACACACACACACACACACTCCCCTCGCCGCGAGGCCGCTTCTATCAGCAGACAAAAGCTCCCTTGAAGGCAGAGTCCCCAGCTGCTTCAGGGCAAGGCATGGCTGCCCGTGTCCCCTCGCCATTAGGCAGTCTCTTTCGGGCAATGGAAGCTCCCCAAGTGCAGTCACCAGCCACTTCAATCGGTCGGTAGAAGCGGCCTCGCGGTGAGGGGAGTGTGTGTGTGTGCTCACCCCATGGCCGCTTCTACCAGCCGAAGTGGCTGTTGACTGTATTTGGGGAGCTTCCATCGCCTGAAAGAGACTGCCTAAAGGCGAGGGGACATGGGCAGCCACACCACGCCCTGAAGCAGCTGGGGACTCTGCCTTCGGGGAGCTTTCATCAGCCAATAGAAGCGGCCTCGCGGCAAGGTACGTGCGTATGGGCCGCTCTAGCTGGGGGAGGGAATTAAGTCACCCCAAAAAAGACAGCCTAGCCATTTTTTCAGGGGTCAAAAAAAAAAATGAGGCCTGGCCTTATTTTGTGAGAAACACGGTAATGCAAATATAAACAACCTTTGGTTGCAATGTACATTTGATTCTTCTTAAAATTCCAACACTGAGGAATAGCTTTAAGCAAAAATTAGACACGTCTTTCAAATGTTGTTCATTAAAAAATTCTTGGGTTAAAATAAAGTCATGCCCCTTACATTTTATAGTCGAGATTCTATTTAATATTTTCCCATCCTGCCTGAGACTTCTAGTTGTCATCCCAACACAATAAGAAGACACCAGATGATGGAAACTGCACCACTGTGACCAGAGGATATGACTATGCCATTTCTTCAGCAAGCTAAGGAAATCAAGAACACCCTGTGATAATGTGCATTATTTACATCATGGATGGCATTCTCTTCCCTTCCATTTTTAGGGCTAGACACCATGACAGGTTCTGCATTGTCCTTAGGCTATAATTAGGTCAATTGGATAAATGAAGTTTGAATTTACTATCAGGGAACATTAATGTTTAGTTCCTACAAGGCAAAGATCAGCTATATACTATGAGAGCTGTATTTAATTTGGAAAGTGATTGGAAGAACATGAAATTGAGGGTCTTTTCTGTATTAGGTATTATAATATTATGGCAGGTGGATAAGTTTTTTACATTTTTAATTATTTGCACCTTGTCATTTGGGCAGCATACAAGTTTAATATATTTTTATTACTGGTTTGTCCCATAGCCAGACAGATGTCTAGAATGGACTTGAAATTATTATATTTATCTATATTTCACCAATTTAAACACCGTGATCGGAGGAGGATATGTATGTGTGTGACACAGCACCTTTTAAAATAATGGAGATTTACTGAAACATCTCAGCAGCAACATGTTGTGACAGATGGGTGAATTGTTGCAAATAACCAAATCAATTAAACCAGAAGCCAAATGACAAAAACTTGGCTTTCCAGACATTCAGTCAACCATTTTTTCAAGGCAAATCATTTTCTCAAGGTTCTCTGTGGGAATCAACTATATGCAAGCAGACTTTTTTTTCTGGTTGGTTGGTTAGGAAACCTTCACACTATAAATAATGGGTTGAATAACCAGGCACATACTGTCCACAATACTTCTAAGCATCTTTTATAGTGAATTCAGTGGGATCTAGTTCACAATAAGTGTACTTACTACACTTGTCGCTTTGGAATGTTAATTGTCAAGAAGAAAAAATGAAAAAAGAAAAATGTGCAAATGAAATTCTGATCAAGAGTTCCACCTGTGATCCTAAATAATGAAGCTTTTAAAAAGCTTAATTTTATATTCTGTAGACTAAATCACTAACAGAAAAAGAGCTTTAGAAATTCTGTTTCATTCGGTCACTAGCAGAAAGACACAAGCTTTTGAGTCCAATTATGATTTTGTTCAAACATTTAAGTAACACAATTCACTTTTCTACTTCTTTGCTTTGGAAAATTCTTTATGAATAAAGTTTGATGCAAGGGAGGAAATACTACTATGGCTACTACAGCAGGCCTTTTGGTTACAGTTTGATCATTGTAATAAATTTAATAAATTATTATTAACCTTTCTAAGAACCTCTGAGTGTTCTATGTCAGTAATCCTAAGCACATTTACTACAAGGTACTTATTATAAGTAAACACCCATTGTTTACAGGTTAATAAAAATTTGAAGTGGTATAAGAGTTACATTAAAGCAAACTTCAAACACCAAGAAAAATGAACTCTTGTGCACAAACATTCTGCAGTATCAATTATTGTATTAATTACTATGAATTCTGTTCATGTATTCAGTTGTGCAGTGAACTGTATTGGAATATATATAGATAAATTAGAAAGATAACAAAGTTAATCCCTCAAGACAAGCTAAAGAAGCTTGATAAACACTTGATATCTGAGCACAATGAGCAAACTCAAGTTTAGTTGAAGCAGACTTTTGCAAACTTTAACAAAATAAGGTTGCTGTCTAAAGCAGCACCAGCAAACTTTTACAAATTTATTACAGGGCTGGTATTACAATTGTTCAAGAACTACTTTTAAAAACCCCAAACAAAAGAAATACTCTGCCTATATGCAGATTTGTCATTCAGACTATAAACTTACTAAATATAATCGTTACTAAACTTAACTTCACAAATTGTACATTCGTTCATTAGCATACCAATATTTAAATATACAAAATTTGTTAAACTGACTTCGACATCACAATGCATCTTATTTGTATGATAAAGTTAAGTTCAAGGTTTTAAAAGATGAGAGAAAGGCTGAAATGGCTCTCTATGTGGCACTTTAAGATCACCAACTCCAGGAGCAATAGTGAAATGAATGAAATAAAGCCCTTCAGTCAAACATTCATCGTCTTTTTTTTTTTAAAGCTCTTACCTTGGACCTTTCCTTGACATAATATTTTCCCAATCTATTGCCACAAAACATTACCAGCCTATCTACCAGCGACAGGAGAAAGTTGATGGCCTCGCATCCTTCCTCGGTGCCTGCGATCCACTTTATCTGGTCTCCTCGCAAGTGTCTCTTGGAGATGCCCTGGCGCTGGCCGGCCAGTTGCCCATCCTGCAACTCCCCTCTATAATGCATCTGTTTCACACATTCCAAGACGCAGTCCCCTATTATCTCGCCCAAGAAATTGTCCAAGTAGCAAAAGCCAATATCGCGCAAACAAGGTACAATGTAGTCCAGGGCGATTTTCTCCAAGTCTAACCTCATAATATCGCCCAATGGCATTTCAGGGACGCGATTTCAGTTTCTCACCTCTAAATAATGTCCAAACGAGCAATCGAGCTATCGGTCCCAAAAGCGTGCATCGGTTCTTATTCTAACAAAACGAATCGGCCGCTCGTTTAACGCATGTCTAACCCTTAGATGTCGGGATGGAGAACCGCCACCAGGCAGGAAAGAGTTGATTGATCAGGGAAAGCAACGGAGCGGAGCGCTCAAAAAAGTTTTGCTGAAGTAATAATACTCGGTCTTCCGGGCAGCCAGCGGTCACCGTCTCAGCCACTCGAGCAAGGCTGGAGAATGGAATGAAGGGCGACTCCCCCCACCCCCGGGGGCTGCCTTGCACCTACTGTAAGGGTTAACACCTTGGCCGACAGATAATTGCTGAAGCTCTTTGCTATCGGTGTAGATCAGTGTGAGAAGTGAACAACACCCCCCCTCTCCCTTTTGGCCGATACGATCACTTCCCTCTTTGGGGGAGCCACGTCCGGCAAACTCCCAATTTATTTACCAAGGCAAGGAGATGGGCCCCCTCTCTGATTAATACGTCTGCTACGTGCAGGATGTGTTCCCAACTTCTACAGCCAGCGGCACGTGGGGTGGAGCCCCGGCCGCCGCGCGCCCACACATCAACCAAAAGGGAGCCTGGCTGCAGCCAATCAACGAAGAGATGAGGTGTGGCTTCGGACGGCGCTTCCAGCCCCCCCCCCCGCGCCCCTCCCAATCCACGGTTGGAATTGCCGCGTGGGGGGAGGGGAGTCGAAGAGCCACGTGGCTGCAGGAGGCGTGGCTTGGGGCTTTGGCAGGCCTGAAGACCACACTCCGAGGGGGCGTGGTCTCCGCCATTGAGGAATTCTGGCCCAGCATGTACGCTTTTAGCACGGGTCACATACCAATGTAAACAAACGGGAGGGAAAGGGTGTAAGCGCGCAAGTGACAGGGGAGTTTCTTTTGGCAACTGAACCTAACCGAGAGGGGTTGAGTTTACAAGTGCTCAGCATTTTTCCCCCGGAAGGCGGCTTCTCCTTTTTTTCCACACCTGACTTTCTGCAGACAAAGCCTTTCAGACGCACAACAATTGGTTGGTTAGTTGGTTAATTTTCACGTTTGAAGTGCCCTCGTTGCAGATGCTGCATCCACAAAAAGGCTCCTAACGATTTTAACCGAATGGATACCGCATCTTAATCTATGCCATCTAAAAGAAGAAGAAGCAAAACAACCGATTCTTGCTGCATAATAATATGAAAAAAAAGTTAACAGGATGAAACTTTTGATTAAAAATCTTCGAGATGTATTTCCGATGAAGTGTATTTGTATGTTTCCGAAAAAGTAGTGAGACGAGAGAGAGAGAGAGAGAGAGAGAGAGCTCTTGATGTTGCGATAATACCCTTTCTTGTCCGGTTCGGAAATCAATCACGTGTACCTCGTATTATCTTGTGTGAATTCGATCCTTAAACTTGTAGTTTACAAAGCGAACGGATGAAAGTATTTAAAAGAGAAAAATAATGCCAAGACAAACAAACATACAAGAGTGACCCAGAACGTCACAGCTAAAGAGTTCAGACTCCAAATGACAGCGAGATGAGAAACTTTGGGAAAGTTGTTGGTAGTAAGTGAAGAACAAAGTCCTGGATACTGAAACTACTAACCTTGTGTCTTCCTCTAATTTTGTAATGCCCCAGCTTCCCATCTGCGTACATGATGAGCTTATCCATCTTTTTCAGGAGGTAGCCTATGTTCTCACATCCTGGTTCACTGCCCTCTACCCACAAGATCTTGTCCCCGCGGATGGCTTTGTTGCTGCCCAGTTTCTGACTCGCCAGGGCTCCGTCCTGGAATTTGTCACTCAGGTGCAAAGCCAGGACTTCTTGGAAGATTTTCTCGGCTATCCGGGATCCCAGGAAATGGTCTACCACGCACAAGCCATAGGCGTTCATGCAAGGCACTATATAGTGTAAGACTAGCCTCTGAGCATCTCGGCGGTGCTCTCGCACGGGCGCCCGCTTAGAAGGCGAAGGGCCGGAGGGCAAGGCGCCCTCGACCACTCGCTCTTCGCCCGAGTTGCCGGGGGAGAGGAGAGCTCCCAGGGAGCCCCTCGCCGGCCGGTCCGGCTGCTCCTTTCGCCCGGCTCGGTCCCCATCCTCGCTGCTTTCGGGGTGACCGATGAAAATCTTCCTCATGCTTTCCACTGAGTCGCCACTGAGCTCGGTCGGAGGCTGCCCGGCTGCTTCCCTGCCCGAGGCCATTTGCAGGCAAGTCAGATCCGTCTGGCGGCCGGCATCGCCTTACCAGGGCGACAGTATGCCGCTGCTGTTGCGCGTGGCCCTGCCCGAGCCGGCCCCGTGCGGGAAATGCCATGTTCGCCGCACACTACCGGATACCAGAGGACAAGCCGCTCGGGAGCGTGCACACGTACCAATGGGAGCGAGCGGCACATTGCCCCCCCCCCCCCCGCCTCCCTCGTTCCCGCCTCCTTCTCGTGCCGCCTCCTCCCTCGCCATCCCTCGGGGACACGGGCTCGGAACACGCGAGATCCAACGAAGCGCACGAAAAACTCCCGGGCAGTGCTGGACGTGCAAGGGAGAGGGAGGGAGTCTGGGATTGGTACGTGCCCTCTCTTTTGTTGGGAACGTCCCACGTGAGTCACCCCCCCCCCCCCAAAAAAAAAAACCTGGAAAGCGCGCTGGAGCGATCTTTTTCCGTTCACCTGAATGGAACCGGTCTTTCTCCGAAAAAAAGAAAAAAAATTCCCCCAGACCCTCACTCCTTTCATCTTGTCCCAAGCCGGAGACGGTGAAAATTGGTGGCTGCCTGCGAGTAGTTCCATGATCTGCTTGTTGGATGGAGCAATAATGCCGGGACTATAGCAGCGCAAACATTTCACGCAGTAAATATTTTACCAAGGGCAAGAATATGCAGTCCCAGGAAGGAGATAATAGGAACATGCATATTCGCATGATTGGGTTCCATGACAGTCCAGTTTTACCAGGATAGATAAATTCCGTGTGGATAGTGCCCAGTTTGAGAGATCAGGTTTGGTGTAATAGTTAAGGCAGCAAACTAGAAATAGGAAGTGTGGGTTCTAGTGCTGGCTTAGGGTGAAACTAGCTGGGTGATCTTGGACCAGTCATTCCCTCTCAGCCCTAGGAAGCAAACAATGGCAAGCCAGTTTGGAAAAACTTGAAAAACTACAGAGACTTGTCCAGGCAGTCGTCAGGAGTCAGCGCTAACTTGAAGACAGACTTAACACACGCAAAGCCACCTAGTTTAGTTTGCATCCAGTACACTCCCAGTCAATCCCTGTATGAGATCAGACCAAATACACATGCCATTCAGTTCACCTAGCACAAAAATACAGCTTGGAGTTTCATTTGGAAATATTGGCAAATATTAAAAACTGAACTGGAAAAACGGGATTAAAGGCAGGTGGGATTTCTGTATTTATAGTAGATCTTTGAGATCTTAATACTAATTCTGGGTCTGGGTCTGATAGTGTGTCAGCAGTTCCTTTTGAACCTAATTCTTATCATATTCTTCAGACTCATTTTTAGAAAACTGACTGCACACCACTCTGAATTAATTGTCAAGTTCAACCTCAGAATTATTTCAGACATCAGCAGTCTAATTCTTTTTCATCCAAGTTATCTTGGCTTGTTCTTCTCTAGCATGATTTTTTTGGGGGGGTCCCAAGGTCACTGCCACTTTCAACAATTTATGCTCAGGCAACTCAATTAGGATGTTTTAAGCCTTAATGAATATCCATTGTGCACCATTGCTAAGTGCTGGTTCAGCTGTCTGCTTAACAATGAACTTGAAAATACATGGAGATGGTTTTGTGAATGTGAAGCTTTGGGGTACTCTGGGTGCTCAGGGGTTGGTTCTGGTTTCCTGGTGAGCGCATATTTATTTGCTAGCCTTTTAAGTATCTTGAGCATTCGTCCAGTATGCAAGAACAAAGAAGGGGCTGATATCTGTACTTCAGAAAAGAAGTTATTTCTTTGTCTAATAATAGTTGGTGAAACTTACAAATGCTGTTTTGAAATGAGCTTCAACAGCAGACCTCACTCTTTTATGCCCTTTTTTTTTAAAAAATATATATTACCTTTTGGATGTTCAGGCAGAGGTAAAACAACCATTTGTGAAACAACCAACCCTAATTTTAATTTTTGCACTGGACTAATAGCATAAATAATAATTTCCAATAATTAATGTGGGTACAAGAGAGGTACAAAAGTATTTCCTTAAGAGTCTTCCTCATTGATAGCATTGTAGAAAATACGTCAGGCCAAAGAAGGCGAAGAACTGCTTTCTGTCATCCCAGAGGTCAGGAGACAGAGTCATTACATTGGCTTGCAGGAAGCCAGATAAACCAGATGAATATGCTTTTATGGAACTTAAATCAACTGGATATCTTTAAGCAGAGGCTGGATGGCCAAGTTCTGTGGAAGCTTTAGTTTGGATCCCAATGTTGGATGCATGCCTGCAAGGGACAGGACTTTCAATATCCCTGTCTGTTGTGGTAATTTTCTATGGAAATAGTCATACTTTAAGATGTTATTTTAGTTGGTCTGAGTAAAAGGATAAAAGATGGGAGAATAGAAGATGTGTAACAGCCAAAACAAAGTAAGGCTGGTGCCAATGATTCCTGCAATGAATCAAGGGCAGGCTTAAGACTCAAGTGATCACCCCTGATCACATCACCCCTGACTACATCAACTGATTACTTGTTTCCTGTCTGGATTTAATCATGTGGAAGAAGCCAGTGAGTTGAAGCTGCCCTTTCCTTAGAAAGATGAAACTATTGCCTTTGGTTTCTCACTTGAGCTCTTGGAGTATGGAGAATTACAGTCTCCAACACACCATTCAGTTGAAGGGCAAAAGTAGCTAACACCAACTACTTTTTCATTTCCAAGCATTCTTCACTGCCCAGGAAGTTAATGAGTATAGGTTGCACTTTCTGGATAGCAGTGTTAGGGGCCCAATCATCTTTTCTATGATATCCATGGTTTGTGAACCAGAAACAAAAGGGAGGAACTACAATTGTTTCCTGCACCTTTAAAAGAGCACCTTTATATTTGAGAGCTACTTCAGTATAAGCACCAGGCTAGAACCCAGAAGACCATGAGTTCTAGTCCCACCTTAAACACGAAGACAGCTAGGTGATTTTGGACCAGTCACTCTCTCTTACCCAGGGAAGGAGGCGCTTCCGAAATCTTGCCAAGAAAATTGCAGGGACTTACCCAGGTAGTCACTAGGAGTCAACACTGATTACAGAGCACCCAAACAATATAAACAACAACAATGCACCTGTTGTAGCTAAAGGAATAATCAAAAATGCTTTGATTATTGAATAGCTGGAGTGGAAATCTTTATGCAAATGAGAACTTAACGTGGAACAAATTGCACACTCATTTTCTTACCTATA